TCCTCCCTTTCTCTCCTTTGTTCTCTGATTGTTTGCGAGTTTTTCTAGGGCATAAAACTACCCAGTGAAACCCTTCAAAGGACTTAGAAGTGTGGAGGCAGCTCACTGAAGCCCCCCTGGGGAGGGCAGGCTTTCTCTCCATGTGGGTCGCTGACATTTTCTATCACCAACGGCGCCTGGTTCTTTCTAGCTGAGGCTTTATGGACGGACTGTGGTCTTGGGCCCCATTTAGGCAGTTTTGTCCTCTGAGGCATGATGCTTGACCTGTACCATTGTCACAGAGGTCCTAGGTTGTCATTAGGCGGGTTACACAGCGCCATGTAAATGCACTGTAAAGGTAAGTTGGACAAGTCAACTACTCAAAAGACAGCATTGAGAATTCATTGGCTTTCCCATTGAGGGCCCAGTTCCATCCCTTTTATAACAGGTGCCATCTTCGCATCAGCTCTAGGATTTAGATGGACTTTACACGGTACTATCCCGCTTTCATTTAATGTTCACCATCAGCCTGGGAAGTAGACATGGTGATCTCCATTAAATACAAGAAACTGAGGCTCAGAGAGGTTCAGGGACTTACCTAAAGTCACTCACTCCGCAGGCTGTCGAGTCAGCNTGATCTCCATTAAATACAAGAAACTGAGGCTCAGAGGGGTTCAGGGACTTACCTAAAGTCACTCACTCCACAGGCTGTGGAGTCAGTCACAGGCCACCCCGCCTTTCTGTTTGCTTTGTCCACTACTCTTCTTCCTGCCCCCACCCCCATCAGTCAAAGAGATATTCAAAGCGTACACTAAGAGCTAGAAGGCCGAGCCCTGAGAATATGTGACAGGAATCACTGGGTCCTTCAGGCTCACCCTGCCTTCAAACATCCACACCAAGGCATGAACTGCGTTTTCAACCAAGGCAAAGCTGTGCAAATGATTCCCAGATGTTGTGAGCTGACTGCCAACACCCTGACTGGCCAGCAGTCAGACAAAGGACTTGTTTAATCTGAAAATGCCCTATTTCGCACACACTCTGCAGCAGGAGATGGGGAGGGGGCTGCAGACACTGACCATCCTGGTTGGTGATCACCCAGGATGGTGTGGGCCTGGCCATGAATGCTGTCCTCTTACGGCCTGCACAGCCCCAAAGAGAATAGTCCTGGAGGCTGCAGGGTTGGGTTATCTATCTGAAGCGCTCTAGGATTTTTTGGTTTTTGAACATAAAGGATAATATTATAGACACTGAATTACGGCTACTTTTTCTTTAGCACTATTGTCATCTCTCATAAGCAATCAAGGGTTTAACCTCTTTGTGCTACAAACACCTGAAATATTTCTGGGGACCCTTGAAATCTGATGGCACTAAATATGCACGTGGCCTCTTCTCAATGTTTTCCTTTCATACTGCAACTGATGCGAGTTCCAGCAAAACTATATTCCTGGAACTGTGATTCCTAAAGGTTCACTTCATCAATATACATGAGAAAGAGTCCCTTCTTTTCTGAGAAGTCCATGCAGCCTTTTCTAAGAAACATAAAGCTCTGACCTGCCAAAGCAAACAAATGAGAATCCCAGGGTTCGAGGCAATTCAGTGCATAATCCAGTCTGTTCACTGCTCTTCAAATAAAAAGGAGGTTCCCACTGCCTTGACCGACAATGCTGAGGATTCACGCGCTTCGTATCTTTAAGGCCAAGTACATAATTAAGTAAATCTTTATCCAGAGTTAACAGCCCACAGATGGGAAAACTGAATCACACCCTGCCTCGCGCACCGCTTCCTATCAGCATGGGAATCGCGCGAAGGAGAGCCCTCATCTAAAAACTTCAAAGCCGACACTACCATTAACCAACTTGATAATCAATTGTGCCAGCATCTTTTTGGATTACGATTAATATTTTAGTGTTACTTTTACTATGCCAGTGTTACCATATTTCCCCCACACACAAAAAAAGTATTTTTCCAAAAACTGGATACAGAAATTCTGCAGCAAAAGCAGTCTACCAACATGCTGAGATTTAATGACACGAAGAATTCTGGTGAGAGAGGTATAAAGGGGCGAGTGCTCTGAGCTTCGCTGTTTTCTAAAGCGGGGCTGCTCAAACTGTGACGAAGAATCACTCGTTCTTTTATTTCTAGTTGTATTCAAAATATAAGCCCTACTTTTTTAAAAAAATTATTATTATTATTTTTTTTTTTGAGAGAGAGAGCAAGGACGAGAGAAGGGGGGAGAGAGAGAGAGAGAAACATCGATGTGAGAGCAGAACATCGATCGGCTGCACCTTACCAGGGATCAAGCCCACAACCCAGGCATGTGCCCTTGACCCTTGACCAGGAATTGGACCAGCAACCTTTCAGAGCCTGGGATGAAGCCCAACCACTGAACCACACCGGCCAGGGCTAAGCCCCACTTTTTAATTCTTGGATTCAACAGACCTAAAATCATCCTGTCAACTTGCTCCAGAAGTTTCTAGATGTCTCCTTCTCAATGTCTACCCTTGTCACAGACCAGTCAGCATCGGCCCAGCTGCTGCCCACAGACCACACCTAGGGAAGCGCTGGCCAAAAGCCTCACTGCTTTCTCTGAAAAGCAAGCATTTAAACAGAAAGGCTCGTGTCCCAGGGACGAGCGAGCGGCTGCAGCCCTCAGCAGACTGCAGGGGCCACTCATTCCAATCACTCTTTTATAGCGAGATAGCAGCAAGTGACAGGAAACGAGGCTCGACTCCCCACCCTGCCCCTTCCTGGCTGGGCCGCTTTGGGTCAGTAACCACCTTGGGACCCTTCTGTCTTTATCCATAAAACCAGGGAGACGCCAGGACCTACCTCACAGGATTAGTGGAGATTTGGCCTGTTAAGAGCTTAGCACAGTGAGTGATGCATACTGAGTGTTCGGTAAATGTCACCCACGTGGGCCACCAGTATGGCAAACGGTGTCCTCACTGGGAGCTGCAGGGGAGCCCAGGGCCCTGCAGACTGAGCACTGCGCGCCCACCGCACAGTCAAGCAGAGAGCACTGAAAAGTGGGGAGCAGGGATTTGAGGCGGAGGAGCCGACTCTGCCCCCAAATCCCTATGCGGAAAGGCTCCTGTCCTTTGACACCAAAGCACAGCCACGAAAGCGTCTCCAGTTCTGGAGCCAGGGATGGAACCAGATGCGGCCGCATGGAGACCTGCACGAGTCGGGCTGGTTCTGACATCGCGTGGATTTGAGGGGAGCCAAAGAGGGGAGCTGCATCCCGGGTCCCATTGCTGGGCGTTCATACCCTGAGCAAGATACTCCACCTTGCCGGCCGGGCGTGGCTCAGTGGTTGAGCGTCGACCTAGGATCCAGGCGATCAGGGTTCGATTCCCAGTCAGGGCACATGCCCGGGTTGCGGGCTGCAGCCGATCGATGACTCTCTCATCTTTGATGTTTCTCTCTCTCTCTCCCCCTCTCCTTTCCTCTCTCTGAAATCAATAAAGATATATTTAAAAAAAAAAAAAAAAGATACTCCACCTTTCTGTTCCCGTCAGCAACAGGGAGGTTATTAGAGAGCTGCCTCCCTCTCCGGGAGGCGTGGGGCCCAGCGGGGAATGGGTGCGTGGAGGGGTGAATATGCGTGTTATACACAGGACGGGGCAACACTCAACCAAGTGAGCCACCCCGGCCGGACTTACCTGCGTCTTGACCCGGGATAGCAGCCCTCTGCCCCTCCGCTCACTTGCCCCTTTCCTAATTGAGCCCCTTCCTCGCATTTGTGCCTTCGATGTGACCTTCATGGGGGTAACGAGACAAGCCACCCAACGTTCCTCCCGCTGACATACTAACCGAGTCATATTGAATTAACAATTGTACAGTGCTTGGTAATGGACACTCGTCTTAATCTTCAGAGCAACCCTGGGCAGTGGGTGTTGCCCTCACTTCAGACATGAGGAAGCTGGGGCAGACCTGGAACTTGAACCCCAAGGGGTCTTCTGATTTCATATTTATTTCAGGGTCACGAGCTTACAAATCCGAGGCAGAAAAGGTTTTCTAAGGTTTAGTTCCAAGTATCGAATAAAGAACGGGTCACAGGGACAGAGGGAAGAACACAGGGATCTGGCTTCTGGGCCTGGCTCTGCCGGGAATGAATTCATAGGTCCGCCTTCCTGGTCCTCAGTTTCTCCATTCATGAGACCAGGGCCCTGAATTCAGACGCCCCTGGCGTGCTCTCCTGCTCAGCTGTCCCCCCGTCTGCTGCCCTGTCTCCGCTGTTGCTAAAATTAGGCAGGAAACATTGCTGAAATACCTTTCTTTTTTGTTCCTCGTGTTTTTAGTTTCTAAGATTAGCTGGTAGTATGTGGTAACTATCCAGCTAGTCTGCCAAGAAGGAAGAAAATCATCGTCGATTTAATGGTTAATGTTTAAGCCCTTCCTTCTGTAGTGAGAAGATAAATCTGGAAACAGCGGCCACAGGGCTGCACCCACAAAGGCCCTCACCCCATGGAAAACCATCTTTACAGCCACGTATTCTTAGAACAGTGGCTCGCAACAACCAGGGGACATTTGCAATGTCTGGAGACATTTCTGGTTGTCGCCAAGTGGGGAAGGTACTATAGCAATCCAACGAGTAGGAGCCAGGGATGCCGCTGAACACCCTGTGATGCACAGGACAGTCCCCACGTCAAAGAATTATCTGGCCCAGGATGTCACCAGTCCAATGTTGAGAAGCCCACCTTAAAGAGTGAGGTCAAAGAGAGGCTCCAAACTCTTCCTAGTGCTGTAGTTGTTTTTTAAATATTTTTTAAATGATTTTTTTAGAGAGAGGGGGAGGGAGAGGGAAAGAGAGAAACATTGATGTGAGAGCGAAACATTGCTTGGGGGGTAAGCCCACAACCTGGGTATTCAACCGACCACTATTCAGCCCACCCGATGACGCGCAACCAGCTGAGCCACACCAGCCAGAGCTCTTCCTAGTGTTTTAGTTCAACTGGCCCACGCGAGAGGCTACCCAGACAGGCTGCTCTGAAAGAACCGAGGCTCTCGAAACCTCTTACCTTGCGAAGAAGGAAGCAGCCACCGAGGTGCCCGTGGAAGTCTCAGTGGCCACGCAGGAGCTCTGCGGGGCTGGGACACTGGAGGCTGAAGGCTTGTCCGCATTGTAGCGATTCAGCGCCGCCTCTGACAGGCCCTCCCGGCCAGTCTCTGTCATCAGCTGGGAGATCTGAGGAGGCAAATGGACACCGAGCTCATTACCTGTGGCTCGCAGCACCTCCTGACCCCCACTGACAGCCTCTCCCCAGAGTGGGCAGAGGGGAGGGGACAGGGAAGGAGCGCGCCCCCCCATTACACAGCACATGTGGTGCTTACGGCTTCTCCAAGGCTATTTTTCAGCATTTCAGCTAGGATGCCTCCTCACTTGCATTAAAAATAATGGAATAAAATCACCCCCTGACACTGTAAGTTTCAATTACGTCTGTCTCCCGTCTGTTTGGAGAAGCATGAACCATATCCGCACTGTTTGCAGCCCAAGAGCAGGCCAGTAACACCGACCAGTGCCAGCTAGTGTCTTACCAGGAATGGGCCCCAATGCTCACTTTATTAAGGGAGACGTGAACCTGCTAACGGTGAACATAAGGAATTAAAGCACTATTTGTTGCTTGCTGTAGGCAGTCAGCACGCAGATGACTTAGAAAAGCTCCTAACAAAAGACAGAGCAGCCATGAATTACCAATGGGGCTTATGGGGAGGGTTTAGATCATTTCAACAGACTTAATTTTCCTACTGGATCATTAAGATAAATGGCTTCCATTTTATTGGCAATAATTGCCTTTATAACAGAAGTTCTAGCCGATGGGGCTGGGTCCGTTTTGCCCAGATCCACATAACATGCCATGGAGAACCTACGTACTTCTGGGCAAAATGAGAAACTTGTGTAGAAATATACTTTGGGAAAGTGCTAATCCCGTGACAAATGTAATAATTACGCAGGCAAGTCTAATGTGCTATTTCAAATACCTGTTATTTTAAAACTTCGGTCTACTTGCAGAAAGCAAAAATTGTTTTTAAAAAAAGGAAACTTTTGTTCAAAAAAAAAAAAAAAGTCTCCAGCCAGCTCAAAGTTCTTAAATGCTCAGTGGACAATGTCTCTAATTGCCAAGAAAATGCAAGTGCAGGAAAGGGGAGATCGGGAACAGTTTCTGCTTTGTCACCGAGCAGACCCGCGAGAGAGTCCCATTTGTTAATCGTTTGGACATAAAAACATTTGTACTTCGCATTATTCGCAAAATAGCCATTATTCTGAGCCCCATTGACTTGAAACTTTGCTCCCCTTAAATTCATGCTCTTACTTGGAACGATCGGCTTTATTCAGCTGAAACTCTGCCAACACACACTTTCTTAGTCTCATTCATTAGATGCGTTGTAAGGAAACCCGACCCACATAAAAGAAACCAGAGTGGAGGCAATGGATGCCTGGAACATGTCCCCAGCACTCAGCCAGGGCACTGCCCAGTGCAGGGGACCGGCCACCTCTCCACTGCCTGTTGCTATGGGCTCCTCTCCACCGGCTGCCACTCTCAAGGGACAAGGCAGGCTAGATGGGACCACTGACCAACCAGGGGGCTGAGGACATGGCCACCACGCTGTCATCACCACAAAACAGCACTTACAAAGCCCCCATGGAACATGATGCCATCCTGGACAATGTCCATACGCCAAGTCCCCAAATTTGTAGCACCACTTTTTTCACCATCAAATAGCTACAACCTCAGACACACATACTTCACACACAAAGACATCTGAGAAAAGTCAGTACACAAGTAAGTGTGTGTGTGCAGCTTCTGACAATTTACGTAGCTAGGGTTGCCTGCGTGGTCACCATCTGATCCTCTGTTTGGGTGCTGTTTCCTCTCCGTTACTGTCCTAACCTGGAGTCTGGAGCGAAGGGAATGGGATTCTCCCGCCTCACGGTGTGTGCACTGGCCTTACATGTGCCCTGCAAACTCCAAGAAGCCACTAAGGATGGATGTAATGAATGGCGACACAGAGGCACAGGTTTCTGGGTGGTTCCAGAGTCCCTTGCAGTCCCCCCTTTCCAGACATAGTCAGTGTCATGATTTCGCTGGGGACCAGTCCATGTTTTTCCATCCTAAGAGCCTGGCTGAGCTCCCTCGGTGGTTCCTTTTGAGCATTCTCTGGGTTGAGTTCTGGTCGTCCCACATGGGAAGAGGGCATCCCCCCAAATGCCCACTCTCATAGACTCTCACCACCTGAAAGTTCATGTTCTCATTTGTATTTACACCCAGTATCCTCTTTAGGAATATGAGCTTTCAGAAAATATATACAAATAGCTACAGCAACTGCTAATATACCTCCTCTCACCCTCTGCACTCTAGGGTTCTGGCTTCCCTTAAGTTCCTCAGACACACCTGCTCCTGCCCCAGGGCCTTTGCACCTGCCTGCGCTCTCCAACTGGAAGGTTTCTTTTTCTCCTTCATATCCAAGCTCAAGCATCACTTCCTCAGAGAATCCTTCTTCCACCCTCCTTCCACCCTCCGTCAGATGCTTTTACAGAACTTCAGTATCTTTACCTTGATTCATATTGTGTATTCAATAGGTCATTGTCTCTCACTACACAAAAGCCCCAGGACAGTAGGTCGAGGGTTACCACTGTATCCCAGGCAATCAAAATAATGCCTAGCACACAGAGATGTTCAAAACATATTTGTGGAATAAATCTGAGCTATTCTTATTTTATAACTGCTCATCTTTATATAACTCAATCTTAAGTACTTTAAATAAGAAGGCTTAGTTATTTTAAAAATCACACTGTATTTCAATTCTGTTTACTACTGGAACACAACAGTATCTATCCTTCCTGTCACCACCAGTGTAGTGTTTTGGCTCCACTATGTGCTAATATGGGGATCAAGAGCTGCCTTTTTTTCAGCCCACAAATTCATTTGATCACTTACTCACATGCACAAACACATATTGGGTACTTAGTATGTGCTAGGCACTGCAGCAGGCATTCATGCAAATATTTCTTAGTCTCCTGTATCTACATTTATGTATTTCCCGGCAAGTTGGGTACAACTCACTGGCAGTCAATATTTTGTGCAAACATAATCTACAACTAGCTGGCCTACGGCAACTTCTATCTACTACCTCTGTTTAGCCGCATCTTTATTAATCCTGAAAAATAGAGGAGCTAGGCTTGCTCTCAACAGGAGCAGCTATAGCAGATTTAATTGAACAATTAAAATCATATCAATTCTAAATCATCCCGAGAGAGAGGAAGCCCCTTTGTCAGACTGGCTATCGTTTTTCACACAGGCACTGGGGTGTACAGGCTTCTGAATGCTGGGTTTTCATGGAGCCCTTTTGACCAAGGTCCCGTAGCGCTTGTTACCAAGAATGTACTCCTCAACCCTGCAAACTACCCACAGGACAACACCCATAGGCTGTCACTGAATTGTTCCACCATAAGAAACAAAAGAATTGCCTCCTGGAAGAACTGCTCGCATCCAAATTCTTTCCATGGCTCTTTGCAACTGTGATAGCTTGTCACTAACCTGGTTATACCTCAAGCAAGGAAGACTGAAGACTGAAGACCCACGCCTGTAACAATTACACCACCATTAGCAGCAGAAAGGACGCCCTTCGATCTGTCCATCCCTTTGTTCATACACCTGCTATTACTCAGACAAGCCTCACTTGAAACAACCAGTTTCAAGCCCGGAGGCAGGCTGGCTACTATTCCCATTTCACAGAGGGGTAAAGCAGAGGCTCAGAGTCATCGGGGGATTTGTCCAAGGCTATTCAGCCATTAGGCAGGAAAGTTCAGGTGGAAAGGCCGGCCTTTGAGCCCTTTCTTTGTTCTTTATTACATGATCTCAACTCAGTTACTAAAGTTTACTGAGTAACCAGGGCTCCAGAAGGTTGGGGATTACAGAAAGTAAACTTGGCTTAGCCACTGACCTCGAGGGACCCGGGAGAAGGCTAGATGGAAACATGCGCAGCCAGCCCATGCCATGTGCTCTCTCCCCGCCTCCAAAACACGGGGAGTGTGCGTGCAGAAATGCCATCTGCGGTTTGGTGATGGGGAGCTTCTGAAATTTGGGCTTGGCCCAATCTTTGGGGCCTGTCCGACCAAATCTTTAGGTCAGATTGGCCCTCGGGGAGGCCAGAGGAGGCGAAGGTGCTGAACCTGGGTCCCCTCCCACCTGCTCCTGAAGGACACCGACCCTGGGCCACCGGCTGCAGCCCCTGGTCATATAACACATATGGGTGAGAGGCTGCCCCCCAAGTCCTAAAGCTGGTCCCCTGTGGAAACCGGGTTCTCAGATAATTTACCCATTTTCCCCTGGGGAAGCGGGTGGGCAGAGAGATGGGGCTGCTCGCCCAGGAAAGTGAGTGGAAGAGCCAAGGCTGGGCCCCGACTTGTCTAATTCTGAGACGATCTTCACTCCACA